ATGTTTTACTGTAGGTGAGCGGGATCAGACCAGTAGGAGTCACCGCTACGCTCGCTCTCTCGCTCTGCTGAGCCTCTGTGATTGAGCAGGGACACAACATGCCGGAAGTGGGGTTTCGGGACTCGTAAGCGTGGAAAGTTTACTCTATTAAGAAATCTACTTTTCCCGAGGATTAAAGCTGTTCTTTAGGTTTTGTTTCACTGTTTCATTCATTTGCACTTTTACAATGGGGCTCCCGGCGCTGGAATTCAGTGATTCTTTTCTGGACAGTCCTGACTTCAGAGAGCGACTCAAATGCCACGAAATTGAGCTGGATCGTACTAATAAATTCATCAAGGAACTAATCAAAGATGGAAATATGCTTATTAGTGCGCTGAAAAGTAAGTTACAGGTCGTGTGTCTTTTTAAACGTAAGATAATCTGTGATTTATGGAGGTTTATAAGCGAGAAAGCACAGATTTGTTGTGCTATTTAAATATTTTTTATTATATTAATAATTAAGAAAGGACCTATTAAGAAAGGACCTATGATAAACTGGTAGCTGACCTTTTACCCTTTTAAAGACATTTCATTTAACTACTTAAAACTACAGCTCCTCATGTAAAGGGTCTTCAGAGTCTTATTAACAATTTAATCTCAAAAAGCAAATCATTACAAACATATTTAACCACTCTAATATCAAACAGGTTGAGGAACTGAACATGTACACTAGGGTTGGTGCACGCCATCATATAATGCTTGTTTATTCAGCTGGTATCTGATGTGATATCAGAAAGGAGACAAATCTCTGCTAGATATGCTGTTATCAGCCACTTCACCAGCATGGCTCCTCCTGCCTTCCTCTAGATATATTTGCTTTGCACTAGTCTTAGCCTTTGAACATTTAGGTCCAATCAGCTTTGACTATTTCTTGTTATTTTCATCATTATTCTCTTTCACAACTTTCTCCTTTATTCTCAGCCACAATGCAGTCTGGTAGAAGGCTCATTTGGGCTTTTGTACTAAACAAAATCAGTGAATGTCTTCCAGAAAAGACCTACATCACTACTGCTTTAATTGACTATTGAAGTATTTGTGATGTTATCTCCTTCCTTTTAGTCTGAACAAATCACAGCTTATATAATATTATATTAATAACTGAAAACTCAGTGAATATGCTCAAATTATTAGGAAGCTCCATCACATAACTGTTTGTTGTCTCTCTGACAGATCTATCTGCAGCTGTGCAGAAATTTTCCCAGTCCCTACAGGATTTCCAGTTTGAATGCATCGGAGATGCAGAGACAGATGATGAGATTAACATTGGTAAGTAGTTGGCAAATGATCAAGATGAAAATTATTTGAATAATCATGCAATTGAATAAATTATACCATTTCTTATCCGGAGAAAAATTAAATTCTGTCATCATTTACTTACCTTAATGTCTTTCTGAACCAGTACTCTTTCTTTCATGCAACTCTTTCATGCAAGGAAACGTTTAGTAGAATGTTGAAGCTGCTCTCATTCATACTAAAAAAGTGGATGGGGACAAAAGGAGTCAATCCCAAAAAAATAAAATTTACATTGTTATTCACAAAAAATCTTGCCTTGAGAATTTAGCTTGATAGCTAAGATTGCCATTCATTGTATGGGAAATTCATTTCTTAGTCATTCAGCTATGAATAACTCCTTTGTCTCACAGAATAAAGAAAGTCATACAGGTTTGGAATGACGTGAGAGTGTGTAAATAATGGCAGAACATTAATTTGTTGTGAGAACTATCCCTTTAAGCTGTAAATAGTGATGTAAACTTTGAAACAGTCTCCAAAATGTTCATGCCTCCATAAGCTTTTTATTTGCAGCTGTCGTCCTAAGTCACCCACCAACAGTAAGCTGAGAAAACACACATTACTGTAGCATTACAGCTCCATAGTGTCAAACACAACAGTGATGGTTCTTTATCAGACTGAGACAATTGCTGCCTGGCATTTAGAAAACCATGAACCCAAACAACCGTCTGCAAGGTGTGAGAATGTTCCTTTCTGGCCCTGGCTGTCCATATTGGTCATAACACTCTTAGATATTTAGGCTGGTGAGACTCTGATAATTTGCAGCTTAGTGTTTAATGTTAAAATGTACCCCTTTTTTCTTTAAAATACATAAAAATCTTTCATTTAATAGGGTTTGGCGATACTGGTTATGGTTGTACTGATTTAAAATAATTGCCATACACTACCTTTCAAAAGTTTGAGGTAATACGATTTTTACTAACTATCTGATCAAATAAATGCAGCCTTGGTGAGCATAAGAGACTTCTTTCAAAAAGAGTAAAAAAAAAAAAAAAAAACACCCCAAACTTTTCAACAGTAGAGTATGTTTGCGATAAATCATAATGCCAGTTCTTTGAATGTGATATGAATATCTCAACAGGATGAGTATTGTTTCATGCATGCCTGGCATGTCCTTTTAAGTGCATCTCTGCGGATTTGTGGTTCTCCTGCTACATTTGCAAAGCAGATTTGTCTTGCTGTAACATGATTTTGAAATGACCGAGGGTGTGTTTATCTGTAGTCTGTGCTTCTAATAGAAAGTAGTTGAAAGTAGTTCTTATCTGAGTTCCTAATTTGATATCTGGAGGAGTTAAAATCCTCAGAGAATGATGAGGGGGACTGAGAGGTGGGACCCTGCTTATCGCAAAACAGAAAAATGCTGTATATCCCAGGATAGGAAGTGATGTGGCCAAAGCGTATTTTGTTTAGGGGAAAAAAAAGCACAATCTCAGAATCACAACATCGTGTGATTTTAGTAGCATGACATAATATCAACAGTAGTTTATTTTAGATCACAGTTGTTTTCTTCTGCATGTTTTAAATCATTTCTCAGGTGCTGGTTTTAGCTTGTATCTGGATTATATTTTTAGTATCATTACAACAAGGCATATTCAGGAACTAACATGAACAATCACGGTGTCAGAAATGTAATGGATCACTGTAAAACATGCAATTCAGCTTTTGAAATGATTAATCTTCCCTTTTTTTCTATGGCTGACCATGATGCACACATGCAGGGCTCATACAGGAAACATGCTTTGTGTTACTCTCACATTTCTACATCTTGAACATGGGGTCTGCTGTTTCTGGAATACCCCTTTGTAGGGCTGCACGATTAATCGAATGCGATTGTCATGCGCATTTTGATAGTAAAGCCGGTTCTGTAATCAATAGTAAATCTCCATCACCTGCTTTCAGATGGAGCAGTATTTACTACACAGAGCCGTAGTTCACTGACAAGCTACGCAAAAAAATTACAGACGATATAATTGTGCGATTATGAAATCGTTAGCGATAATGACGGCTGTTTGCGTAGCTTCTCAGTGAACTACGGCTCTGTGTAGTAAATGCTGCCCCATCTGAAAGCATGTGAAAATATCACATTAATAACATGCTGCTCCATCTGAAAGCATGTGAAAATACCACATTTAATTAGCCTACATATTTTTACTCCAAACTCCCTTCATAAAGTCAGTCGAGTGTTTGAAATAAATCCTTCTGTGAGATGATGTGGCTTCTTACACAGAATAAGGCACTTTTAGTTAAAAGTGACTGTAAAACATCAGCTCTAGTGGCGCAGATGGATAAGCGCGTGTCGTTGGCTTTTTGACGCGATCGACCCGGGGTTCGATTCCGCCTTTTGCCGAACTTTTTTTCCCTCCCTTTTCAAATCTCGTATTAGCAATGGATTCTATT